GGTGTTGTCTACTCGTATATCGCCTACGCCACGTCGACGACCCCTCTCACCTCCTCCACTCAACCTGACAAAAAGTATCCCGACCCTTCGGGACCGTATACGAAACTAGCCATCTTGACAAGTGAGCAGGTTTAACGACCTGTCGCCGAAAAGGGAGAGTAGACGGTTCCCGACCTCCCCGGCAGTTCACACATGGTTAAAATTGAGAAAATAAAAAGTTATTACTTTTTCAATGTTTTCTTTTTACAAGCAGATGATTTACCTATCCTCTGAAACAAATATATTGTATTTAGTCACCATTTGACTTAGATAGTTTTTCAACTTTCACAAGAAACCTTAAAATGAACTAACCACAAAGTGAGAATTTACTGCATTTAATTAGGTGAATTTCAGTGGTGTGCAGTCATTGGAAGCGGTGGAAGCGCCACTTCCCTTGTATTTTCTAAAAAATAAATACATATTGTGCGATTATTTTCATATTTTAATGTATTTTTGATTAATTAATTAAAATTAATATTTTATTATAACCACGTTATGTATCTTATTACAAATTTCTATACTACATGTGAGAAAAATGATAAGATTGCTATTGTATATTTGAATATAAATTCGTATATGCATATTCCCAACAGAAGCTCTGTATTGTCAAATATGGGACAGCTTCCAGGGCAAAAATATTTGAACAGTGTAAAACAGCCAGATTATAGGCATTTGCGCATGCACTTTACAGAGCACCAACCTCAGGTGGTTTAGCTGGTGGAAGCTACACACCAAAACACTTCCAATGATTCTATCCAAAACGGCTCTGGGCTGTTAGCTGCCTGCCTGTTAGATATTTGGCTGCCCTTGTCCCATTATGTGAATCGCGAGTAGATTTATAACTTAACCCAACCGATAGGAGTTTACTGGTATGTTTTTATGATAATTCTGTAAAGTTGACAGGAGTTTCAAAAAAATCCATTAAAATATTTGATATATTTATTCTGCTCTCCCATCTTGTATTACTTACAGATTTCAATGTTAAACTAGTGATATTATGATTTAGTATGTCCCATCTATAAGGGGATACAGAAAAATACGTGTACAATTCTTGTACAATGTTAAAAAATTAACTGTTACTTTGACAACTAAATTTAATGAATGAGACGCACAAGGTACAAAAAAAAAAAAAAGCTCTAGAATTTATTTTCCTTAAATTTACGATTTATGTATCCGTTGTCATAAAAATTTGTCTTTCCACTTCTTTCCCAAGACTACAAATATTCAAGTACAAAGTAACCAGTTTCAATTTATTTCTATTTACACAAGTAGTTATGTAATTAAGAGATTATGGAATTAGGGACATAAATAAAACCCTGCTGAAAGAGCCGGAATTTTACTTAAAAGCTTAACTGAATCAATCCATAGCCAAGTACAGTGGGGACTGATTTCTTCATAATATTAGATGTAATAAATACAGAAATTTTTCCAGTTCAATGAGAGTGACTGAAAAGTTATAAATTTTGGAAATTTCCATAGACACCACCTGGTCGTAAAATGAATTATTTAGAAAAAAAATGACGGACAATCTATTAACATTAGTAAATAATATAAAATAAATATTGAAAATTATGATGAGACAGTTATGGCTAATAGATATATTATATCTAAATTAATAGATGTTATATGTTTTTTATCAAAGCAAGAATTGGCATTTAGAGGGTATAGAGAATCTACTGAATCTAATAACAGAGGTAATTATATTGAACTTGTTTATTTATTAAGTATGCCAGATAAATAATCTATTAAAAATACATTTAGAGAAGTCTATGGTTTTTACTAGCTTATCGAACAAATGAATACAAATAGACCCTAGAGGGCCTAGACCATCACTGATGTGCAATTAACTGATTGCCCCTGAAAGTTGGCTTCTTACAGAAACATAGCTTCCCTTTCATCAAATGTTGCACGCCACTGGTGAATTTAGAAAAACAAGAGTTAAATTTTATTATTAAAAATTTAAAAACATATTATTGATTATTAATGAATATAGACTGCTTTTTATGACTTGTAAACCAAAGCAAAATATTTAATAAAATTGATATTATTTCAATTTGACTTCAATTACAGAAATAAAATTTTAAACTAAGTTAGTGAAATGTTTGATTTACTAATTATTCAGTTGTTTACAATATAAATTTATACTTTATATTTATATAATAGAAAGGTATTCCAATTAATAGGTATAAAAATACCTTTATATTAATTAAATTATCAACAACCATGAGGCAGATAATAGTGAGGGCTTATCAGACCAATGATGGGCACAAACGTTCAGAAATCAAAGTGAAAATGTTCAATAAACACAAAAATGATGATTATGAGTATGGAAACAAAAAAACTCAAAATGCATTTTGGACTATTTTCTCATCACTTGGTATTAACTAAAGGTTTTAGTATATTTAAAATTATACAAGGTAAAGATAAACCTAAAACTATGCCTAAAGCTATACAATATAAAAGATCTATTGTATAGCTTTAGGCATAGTTTTAAGTTTACCTTGTATAATTTTAAATATACTAAAACCTTTAGTTAATACCAACTGATGAGGCACTATTTTCTATTAGAAAATAGTCCAAAATGCATTTTGGGTTTTTTTGTTTCCATATTTATGTCGTCATTTTTGTATTTATTAAACATTTTCACTTTGATTCCTGAGCATTGGTGCCCATCATTGGTCTGATAAGCTCACATTATTATCTGCCTCATGGTTATTGATAATTTAATTAATATAATTATACCAAGGGCTAGAAGCAAACTTTTGTAATAATTTCGATAAAAATACTTATTAATTGGAATACCTTTTATAGGTATAATTTTTATACCTATTCATAATTAATAGGTATAAAAATATCTATTAATTATTAGAAATATTATTATTAATAGAAATTACCTAAACAGCAAATACAAATTACTTTTCAGATTATAATTACACTGACAGAAATGAGAAATGTTACACCATGGACACATTTAATGATTTTTATGATAGTCTATAGCAGTGTTTTTCAACCTTTTTTATCTCAGGGCACACTTGAACCTATACAGTCGACCCCCTATAACATGGTAGATACATTCCATTCTTTATGAATCCATTTTGTACAAGTCCTTGCCAATCACAGCCCGACACTTGTGAAGTTTATGGACTAAGGCTGTTTGAAAGGTTTTCTTCCATAAAATTAATCAATTCCTAGACTAATTTGACTCAACATTTCCAAAACACGTATATTTTTTTGGGAATAATCCGTATGAACTATGCTATAAACAAAAAATTGTAGGATTACTTACCGAGTGTGCACCATTTGAAGCTGCCATTGCTTAAGCTTGTTTTCGTTGCGGAGCAGCGCACCAAACCACGGCCGCGATTTCTGATAAGTTATTTTTCTGCGAAAACTTCGTTGAACTTTGGAGACATCATTAATATAAATAATTTTTATGGGCGTTGAATAAGAAATGTTTCTTTCACAAGAAATGTATAAAATTAGTGCTGTATTAGACTTACGGTACCTAATTTACATACTGTACAGACGATAGTAAACTCAACTTACTCGCCTAAACTCTCCGTAGCGTGGCGCTGGACAGCGGAAAGTATATATATAATTATAATAGTTACAATAAATTAAGTTAATATATAATTATATATACAGTACCTAATTTATATATAATTAATATATAATTATATGTACAGTACCTAATTTATATATAATACTGTACAGACGATAGTAATCTCAATTTACCCGCCTAAACTCTCCAGTACCTAATTTATATAAACTCTCCGTAGCATGGCGCTGGACGGCGGAAAGTAGTTCGGCTGCCCGATGATGTTTTACCGAATTATAGGAGTTTTTTTTACCATGTTTGTACGGATACCGTCGCAATTTTTTCACCGTCATACAGGAATCCGAACTATAGGAACCCGTGTTATAGGGGGGTCTACTGTACTTAAATTTCTCAGCAAAAATTACTTCGGAAAAAATCATGTGACTTAAAAGTTGTTTTTGTAAACATTCTATTGTCATATTACTTGCCACTTAACCCAATTATTTTTGTGAATTAAATAAAACAGTATTGTTCTTCCTTAAAATAGCAGGAGGTTAAAACAACAGTTATTTAAATTAATAATTTTCATTTACATAAGAAAAGCAAGCACATAAGTCTTAATTTGCATTTAAAAGTGGCACGATAATTGTCTTTATAAATCTGCCCAATGTTCCGCCATTTCTCAGTTAAAATAATTTGAACTAAATATGGGCAATTAAAGAAAATTGCATTTTAAATGAAATAACCCAGTATTATGCACATATAAATTATTTATCAGGCTTTGAGAAACTCAAATTAATGGAATCAATGAGATGACTATATTATTCCATGATATTTCTAATGGAATTGGTCACAGTGCAATAACTGATCTCAGAATAGGAGAATGATGGAATGAGGAAGACATTCAAATTGAGAAATCCAGCACAGAACCTATCAGAAGGACAATGCCATCAAAAGATCATAGGATTATTCCTATGACTGTCATTAAAAGACAAATGACTGAAACTTAAATCCAAAACTTGTTAGAAGTAGTGTCCACACAAACATTAGCGAGGTTGAGGCCGAAGTTTTAAATGCAAAAATGTGTACATTGGACGCTCAGCGCCGCTTTCCTGTAAGCCTAGAAGTTCGACAATGGTGTTTGGATAGTCAGTGGAATCATGCTCGACATTCCAAACACCATTGTCAAACTTCTAGGCTTATGGGAAAGCGGCACTGAACGTCTGATGTACTTGTTTTTGCGTTTAAAACTTTGGCCTCAACCTCGCTATTTAAAAACAGATTGCACAAGACTGGCTTAAGATCATGAGTTAGCATGCAATGTTTATTTTTAACTTGATATCATTACCAATAGAAACTAACCTAGTGTACAGCTACAATAAACTAAACTACTGAATGGCAAAACTTATTGTTCAGTGATTACCTGATTTTGGTTTGTGATGTAATTGAATACCATTATTATTCCAATTATTTTCCACCAATAATACATTTTTGACAGCACTTAAATGAAAAATTCCAGAAAATTCTAAAATATCATTTTTCAAATGTTCAGCTTCCTTTAAATCACTGCAGTAACAATACAGCTTCTTAATATCCAATTCTTTCAATGGCATATGAATTTTTTTCTTTAATTTTAATTTTAGAGATTGAGCCAAATTATAAAGTGATAGTTGATTATTGAAAATTTTCATTAATTCTTGTAATAAACAATCTATAGAAAATAACCAGACTGTTATTAGTCATATCAATAAAATAAGAAATTATATTATTTATGAGTAAAGATTATTATTAATGGCATTATGAATGAAGAATCAGAATCATTGAACAACTTAAATATTAAGTATGATTATTAAATACAGAATGCTTTCATCACAAATTCTTAAATAATTTTTAACTATTCAATAGATACTTTATATAGTTAGAAATATATGTAAATAAGAATTTAATTTTGAATGATAATTTTAATTGTTTAAAAAATAAAATATTCATCTCTAATATTCTCTCTCTAAAAAATGTTTAAAATTAAAATATTTTACTAGTTAAAAATTATTTCATGCAATATAGTATTTAAAGTGATAATGTTAATTTATGTTTTAAAAAATATTAAATATACCATAATTTCCTGCAAATAGCTCACAAGTCACCTGTATGTAAAAGTAAAAGTAAATTTGAAAAATAAAGTTTTCAAATATACTTTTAGATGCAGGATCCTCAAACATTTTTTTCTGCTGGCCCCTTCAAGGATTCCCTGACTTCTTATCAACTCTCCATCTTTTTCTAGCTAATACAGTTAATAATATAGCTGGCAAGTATTTGTCCACACACAATTTTCATAGAAAAGATCTAATTACAGTATACAAATTTACATCATCTTGAACCTATTATATATACATAACCCATTAGACTAATAATTTTTAATGATCCATTTTCAATCAATCCCAAAAATGCCTTATCCCTTTGGGTTAATAAATATTGACCACTTCGGGGACTCCTGCTTTAAACATTTCTTTAAGCACTTAGAAATATATTCATCTGTCATTGTAACTTTTCCAAAAATCAACAAGCATACATATACATACACATGCTTCAATTTAGTTCTTTCTTGTTCATTTTCTATACTTGCTTTAATTTTTATATTCGTGCTTTAAATTATTAAACACTCCTACTTAAACTTTTATCTTAAAAGCTGATAATCCCTCTCTCTACATAATAATTCTCAGAGAACTATTTAGAAGTTAACATGATTTTATCATATTTTGGTTGTTTACAGCAAAGAAAGAGGCAATAACTCTCAAATCTGTGTCTTTGGATATTAATGACATAAAAAAATTAACAAAAAATTTTAAAGTTTATTTTTGCAATTATTATTATTGTGTTATTTTATAAATAAAACAGAAATTAAACAAATGATAAAAAAATTTTGTCACTCAGCTGTCTTTTTGTATTTTTGACTTTTAATGTAGTTTAGGCAATTCTATCCCAAAAATTCTGTTTATTCCATTTCACTTATTTTATAATTAGATGTATAGTACAATGAACTGCTAATGTAAATAAAAAATTGGGTTGATACTTTCTAAACTGCATATAAGTAAGTGTCTTATTTTCAATGCTTACTTTACAAGTGTGGGTATGATAAGACAGGTTATTTGAAAGTTTCATTTCCATTTTGGCAACTTTTTAAGTTGACTTGTTAAACACTGTATTTTGATGACACATGGCAAATTTTTATCATTTATCTTTATTTAGTTTGGATATCTAAATAAAGATAAATGATGAAAATTTGCCATGTGTCTTCAAAATACACTATAAAGTCAGTGTTTAATAAGTCAACAATACAAAAAGGACATGGTTTCATAAAAAACTTTTTAAGTGTTTAATCAAGAGAGAGTTATAAGCAGGAAATTATGGTATAACAAAATATTAATCATAAATGTAAATTTCGTAATCATTAAATTTTCTTACCAAATAATCCAATTCTACTCCTATTACTATTATACCAATATGTTTTTGGATTAGATACTTTTTCATTTAGGAAAACTCTATTTCTTCTGCTAATATAAAATAAATCTGGCAAAAGTGAAATAAATGTTTTTAATGTATTTATATTGGTAAAATAATCACAAAATGGCTGTGATACTGTCTTTCCTGCATTATATAGAACTGGAAAATGAAATGGCTCTTTAAAGGAATGTTCTTTTAAAATTATAATTGTTTGTATCTCGGCTGTCAACTGTAGAAATGTTGAACATATAATTTGTAACAAACAATCTGAAAAATGAAATACAAAATACTTCAGTTCAAATAATTAGGAATTACTGTGATGTGAAGTTACTCTATTTATATTTATTTAACATATTAAGAGTCATGTATTGCAAATATGCAACATACCCAGCAATTCATCCAAGCTGTGTGTTGCAGGAATGCAATACACACGATACATTGAAATCTAAGCTGTGTTACATTGTTGCAAAACACTAGCTATATAAACATAATGGAAACAGTTACAGCATAGCCTGTGGGAATAAAATGTGCACTTGATAAATATTATTAAAGATGGTATTGCAATACCCAGCATACAAACAACACTGAATTACTATTAATTAATAAATCTTAAAACAATTATGAAATGTATAACTTTAACATTCCTCTGAATATCAGATTGAATAAAACTAGAATTTCCACTAATTTTAGTTTTAATTACTTATTTAGCTTAAAGTTATCAGTTGCAGTAGTGTCTAGTGACACTACTGCAACTGATAACTTTAGGTTATCCAGATACTAGTGAAGTCTGCATCCCTTGCACTAACAGTAGTGCAAGGGATGCATACNACTATAAAATTTTTGTATGTTTCAGCAGAAAATTTACTTTTTTTTAAATAAAAATATCCCTGTATAAAGTTATAACAACAAAAATATTTTTTGTAAGCCCAGCTTAACTTTTTTTTTATTGGCACTAAAAAGATCTTTTAATTAAGCCCATTGTGGGTTCAGCTATGTCTATAATAGGGTGGCTGGGTATTGTGGGATAGATTATCCAGGATGGACTACCCCAAAAAATTTCTAGGGTTTTTTGACCTGTATGTCAATTCATTCTCATACCTTCCAGAATAGTAAACTGACAACCTACCATTCAGCTTACAAATATCAAGATACTACAATGCTAAAATATCATGCAAATTTACTTTTTGAACCTTCTATTGCATTCAGTCAGAGCTATAATTATTACCAAATTACAATAAAAAATACAAAAATATTTTACCTCCTACAAATATAATTACAAAAATAAAAATAAATAATATTTATAATATGTGTAGGCTATGCATATTATATTATATTTTGCTAGCTGTTTATATTACCCACCTTTACATTCAGTAATATACAAAAATTACAATTTATGCATAACACTATTATGTATAAAAAACATTATTAAGGATTCTCTATGCCTGTTATAAAAAGATCCATGGGATGGCACCAATGTAGTGATACCACTGATCACTTGTTATTGTTAACAGCATAGGTATGTCCCAATGTAATTAAAGTAAGTAGATTCTACCATATTTTAGATTATTGTTTATCCCCTTCATCTTCATCCTTCTTTCAAGTAGCAAAATTATTCATAAGAATGGCTCATAAAATTTCCCTATAAACAAATTTTATCATATGATATATTTTCACTACTTGTTTTACCCAAATGTTTTTTCAAAACTCAAATATGTTGTTTATACTCTTGAATCTAGAAAAATTCAATATCAACAAGCAATGTTGTATGTAATGCAATGACCATGCATGAAGAATTAGTATTAGTATGTGATACAAACATATAGGAAAATGTGAAGTAACATTTAAAAAAGTTTCAATATTGTATAGCAATAAAATCAATATGGATATCTTTTTGATCAGACCAAGATAGCTTACCTATTTTTAAAAATATATTTAAAATATATTATTCAATAATTACCTGAATTAAATACTTTCCATAATCCTCCTTCACTGTATTCTATAGTATATTTTGAATAGACAGAATACTTTTGAATTTTATCATAAAATTTAATTAGAAAAATATCATGAAATTCTTTTATTGCTTCTATTAGAAAATGTTGACATTTAAAAATATTTCTGAAATTATCATATTTCTTGAAAAATTCGTTTTCAATATAATCCAGATAATATTCTTTCTGTGGACCCACAACTTCAATTAAAAATTCATACAGTTGCAATTTTGCTAGTAAACCTTCTAAAACTGTTAAAACTTCCTTAACAGCTGAGCCTAGAATGATATTAAACAACAATTATTTTCCTTATAGTCAAACTGTTTAAAAAATTAAACATTAAATTTATAAAAATAAATCAATAGCATAAAAACAATAGTTAAAAAAATCATTAAAACATATAAAAATTTAACAATAATTACTTAATTTCTTTGTCCAACCTTGTGGGACATAAGAGATGTTTGCATCTAATAATATTTAATGTTTATAAACAAGGAGAATGAAACCAAATTCCAGCACGAAACTGTAAGACAGCAAACATTTTCAATCATTTGCTGTCTTACAATTTTGTGCTGAAATTTGGTTTCATTTGCCTTGTTTATTAATTATATCCAATTTTGAGTTGTTGATTAATATTTATAATTGAAATAGTTAAATAAATAAATTTAAAATCTAAAATAAAATTTTTATCAATATACAAAATATCTCAATGAAGCAAAAATCTAATGAAACATTATATTAAAATGAATATGACTTAAATAAGATAAAATAAATGATAATTCAATGTAATTGGTTTGTATTTTTAGTACTTGTATATTATTTATAATTTGTAATTTTAACATGATTTTAAGACATGATTTAAATAGTTGCTGAGAATCAGAAGTTTTCCTGCTATATTGAGAGTTTTTCCTTATTAAACATTGTTTAATAATTAGAATAATGTGCATTTTATGATAATTCATAAACAATAAAATCACTTATCTACTAAACTTATAACTTGTTTGAAACTCATTGTCATCATCATGCAATAACTGGAATGTTCTATTTTCATTTTTCTCCCTCTTAGTGCCTACAGGGCAGAAAGAATTATTTTTAATCATACCAATTCTAGTTTGGCCAGGTCCACAATGAGGATAGCCAGGTGATGAGGAGACATATACAGCATAGACAAGGTGACCAGATGTCCTGCTTTTGGCAGGACAGCCCCAATTTTTAACAATGTGTCCATCATCCTGTGGCATTTTAGAAAAGTCCTGAGATTTGGAAAGATTAAGTTTTTGTCAATTATGTGTCATAAACTTGTCTTATGTTTAAGATTCATAAAGATAATTTTATATCACACTTATCAGTATCAAGGGATGTGCGAGCATCGGAAATAAAGAATGCTGTGCCAACAAAACCCTTTGTGTTTGTGGCAAAGACCAACAGAAAATAGTTTGGGGTGCACAGCTGCAGCAATGGAGCAGCGCGTGTTCACAGGCTGTCCAAACGAACAAACATTTTGTTCATTGCATATTACATGGTGCAGAGCTCTCGTCTGTTGCTGTCTTAGAAAGCTAGTGACTAGCAAGAGTAAGCACATCAGTTTGCATCATTCTATTGCTAGTGGTGGGGCTGGGGTTCATTTTGGTTATGACAGTATTATATAATAAAAAAATTACAATAATAAAGTGACACACTCAAGGCAAATTCAGAGGAAAAGTAAAACAAGTTAGTATTACAGTAGGGCATCGTTTATCCGAAAGTCAGTTATCCGAAAGAATTCCAGTCGGCAAATTTAAATTTTCGCTAGTGCTGTGGCGCTGTGATCTTTGGCTATATCTTGGGCTACTCCAATATTTTTTTGTTGATGTGTGTGTTTTAGCTGGCAGCACTGGCACTTTTGTGTGGTGTTTTTCCAAGGACTGTGTGTTGTACTGAATTGAACGTTTTTGATACTAGATTAGCTTCTGAAGTATAATTTTTTTGTTTTTATATTTTTCAATATATTTATTTTGTTTGTAAAAATAAAGAAATAATTTTTAATGATACAATATCCACTATTATTATTTTAAAAAGTTTACGTTAAGCTTAACATCGATGAAAATTCAACGCGAAGTAACACGCAACGGAGAAAAATTTCAACACGGGATAGGTTAACATATTTTTTCGTATATAATCGGTTATCCGAAAAATAAGTTATCCGAACAACCCCAGTCTCCAATTGATTCAGATAAACGATGATCTACTGTATTATTATTATTATTATTTAGTAAGAAATACAGAAGGATTAAAATAATTGTTAAAATATAGTTTGTTATAGGTAGCAAAAATCTCAACAGAGAACAAATGGTTAGAAATATTTCACCATTTTGAAACAAACTATATTCCAAGCATTAAAAATTGTGGAATACATGCTGTCCTTAAAAGGAACTAATGATGTGACTGAATGCATTTTTCTATTATAAATAAAGCATGGGATATCTGATAAATCACAATTAAATATTGAGACTTGGAAAGCCATATTATTTATGTGTGAAATATAATTTAACAAATTCTTGTGAAAAATTTCATGACATTTTAAACAACAGCAGCACTCTACTAAAAAAAATTCACTCAACTTAGAAATATGCTAAAGAATAAATGGTTTTTAAAGATTTACAATAGTATATATATTTATTATATTTGTGAATTTTACATACGTTAAAATATTAAAAAATATAATACAATACAATTTTTGCATTTTTTGATAATAGAATTTTTCTGCTCTAGAACAATTTTTTTCCACAAGACAACCACTCCCCCTGTCAATTTTGGCCCACTTCACCAATGTTAAAATCTGGTCACCTTTAAGTACAAACCATCCTTAAAATATTCCCAACATTGCTTGCTCAGATTTGATTCTAGGTCCTCAGAGTGGTAGGATGATATCTTAACTATCTCAGCCATTCAATCTTCAGAATGTTTTAAGTTTATGGAATTTCTAGTTTAGTTTATGGCAATAAACTAGAAAATAGTTCTGTGATCTGAAATTTTTGTTAGAAATTTAAATTGAAATTGATAGTTCATTATAATCCCCAAAGATATATATATTTAAAATGTTAAGACATACTATAATGATATTTTTTATACAATATATAAAGCAGTATCAAATTGATTATTTAAATATAAAATAGATGCTATTTGTTTCAGTTTAACATTTCAAAATTAAAATTTTCAGACTAAAATTTTATATCAATATTAAAATCACTTTAATTTCTGTATTATAACTACTATTAGTGTAAATTATCATCAATTTTGTGATATAATTTTAAATTAAGCTTATAAACAGTATTAGTTAATCTAAGTAAAAACTGCTTACACAGTAATAAATTTAGCATTATAAATAATTACTGATAATTAAATAAAATTACATCTGAATAAACAACAGTACTTGTTTAATTTTCAATATCAATATAGAGCTCTCAACTGTCCACTTTTTGTGTAGACGATTAACTTTTCAAGGGGTGATGTCCATGTGTCTGATATATTTGAAATTTGTCCAATTCTTTCATCAATGTTTCTGATTATTAATCTTTAAAAGCATTGAACAACCTTTTCTGAATTCTACTAAATATGAACAAAAGCATAAAGAGCAATCCATGAGAGACTTAACCCATCCTTAGACAGATGAGAAAGAAGAAAAGCATTGTTTCAATTTATACTTTTTTTTAATAATAATAAACTTTGGAAAAAATTATTATTATTATTATTATTAAGATCTCCAAAAAACTTGACTATTAGAGAAACAAAAAAAAAAATCCATCTGTCCATCTGTGTGGGCTTAGACCACAACTACTACACACAACTAGAATGCAATCATCTTTCATACACCTGGAAAAGATAGAGATATTTAGAGTATACAAGAAAAATAAGGCCATAAATTTCAAAGATTAGCAATACCATCCCTCTAGCATGAAGATCTCTTATTGAAGTCCAGAAATAAATACTATGCATAACATCAACCAATTATATGATTACTCTTCATGGTGTTCTTTTTTGAACATATTTAATGTGATCATGATAGCTAGTTATCAAAAATGTTTGTTTAGCTTTAAATATTTTTTCATTTATTTATTATTATTATCCAGTTTCTGCACTCAACTGTTTTTGTTTGGATTATCATTTCTGTAAGCCTTGCACTATAAAATGCTATCAAATTTGACGAAACCATCACATTTCAATTAAAATTTTGGCTGTCAGCTTTTTTTGGCTGTGATATTAGTTTTTTTGAAAAATTACAGGTTGAGAGCTCCACAATGTATTTATTTTAATTTCATATTATACTTGCCTATATTAAAACAATTGTCATATCTATCATAATAGTTATTTGGAAGGTTTATAGAGTTAGTTTTAAGAATATTGTTGCTTTTACTGATGTAAAAACAATCTGGAAATTTTTGAAGAGCTGCTTCCACACATTTTTCACACTGAAAATGTTCTAAACACTTCTTTTCTGTAGCAGCAGATTCTGATTTCAGTTTTTGCAAAATATATTCCATAGATACACAATTACAGTCATTTAGTTCTTGATCAATCAGTTCAATTAACTTCAGCTCAGCTAGTTGTCTTGTACTTGACATTCTGAAAAAAATTAACACTTTTAAAATTTAATATGAGAGAAAGTCCATCCCAGAAAGACTATGGGAAACTGGCCCTTATTTAGGTTTTAAAGACATGAAGAAAATCTAAAAAACTCCACATGGCCAGCTCATTGGTGAGGCACAAATCTATGACCAACTACTGATGTTCAATGGTTTCAGCCACTGGTTGACCACTGAACTAACATTAATTTTTTACTAAATTTTCAATTTTACATGAAAATTCTTTCCAACCATTTTTAATTTAAGGGGTAGATTAATAAGAAATAACTCAGTGCAAGTACAAAATAAAAATATATAACAAGCCATATACTATATTTTCTTATACATGTGCATGGTAAATACTGATACACATACCTGAATAATTGTTTTTGCTGAGCTGCAATCTGAAAAAATTGTAGACCTATAAATTACCACTGTTATCTGTCTGTCTGTCCTTAATCTCAAGAATGGAGTTAGGTAGATGAAAGATGAGACCAGATATGGAAACCTTTGGGGCAGGAGGCCCCAATTAACTATACGTGAACTTCTGATGCAAACTGGAAGTCATATTATTTAATTCAAATATTTCCCCCGAAAGGTGTTAGATAAATGACCAGTATGATTCTATTGTTAAAGGAAAAATATGATATACAGGATAAAACACTACTAATTTGAGGTGGAGAACATATATTTTAAATTAAATAAATTTTAAAAATATTATTAAAAATTTCAGCCCAGCATTGTGACCATATCACAATAAATAATTGCTCATTTTAATTTTACTTTTATCAACCAGCATTATAAAAATTTCTATTGCAACAGTTGCTCAAAAATGACAAAAGAAATTGAACTAATCTTCATAACTAATCACAATGAATTTGAATAAAAACTCAAGATGTGTTCACTCTGCTTAAGACAACAGATTACAATAAGGCAAAATTATAGTAAATTAAAAAGAATTATTAGAGTAGCTGAAACCAAACAAGTGGTAAACTAGTAATTTAATTATTAAATTGGGACAGTAATTGTAACTATCAATTAACTATGTTGAGAGTAGTTAACTACTGCCCATCTCTAATCAATTTATACATTATTTATTTATACACACAGTTTTACTAGCTGACTAAATGCGCAAGGTGATAAGACAACTATCTCAAGCAGCAAAGTGAAAAGGCTGGCAAAATGAGAGGTAAAAAATGTTTAAAAGGAAAAAAATAAATAAAAATAATAAGCCAAATACAGTAAATATATTAAGTTGTTTATAAATTGTTCACACAAAAATCCTACCATTAGAAGTGCTTCCTATTGCAACCATTCTGGATGCAGGGACAGCAAAAATCTGTTTCACCTCAGTTCCAAGTTACCAATGAGCTGGCATTGAATTTTACCCTTTTACCCTTCCTAAAATTTTACTTCTTAATGTTGGTAATTATGAAGAAAGACAATAAAAATTTTAGGAAAATTCAGGTTTGAATCGAATATAAATCCTTGTGATTTTATCATGAAAAAATATAAAATTTTGTACGGTATAATAATTCTTGTATAGCCATAAGTCAATTATAGTATTACCCACAGGGCCATTGCAATGGGAGCTGGAGATTTTTCCTTAGACCCTAAAAAAACTTACAGCTTCTAGTGGACTCTTCCAAACACAGACTACATATACAGACATTAATTCATTACTTAAAAATATGGATTATACAAATAACATTTGAAGTTGATGATGTAAACAAAAGAATTTTAAATAAAAATTCCAGAAGGGTTAAAATTTTAAAATTCCAATGCGAGTTCAAAACCAATAATGAATTTGAATAAAAATTCCAGAGCATTTATAAAGGTCCACTTGACAATGCAAATCTTCAGTGAAAACACCTGAAGCTGGCCACTAAATGAGGCTGAAAATGTTTGCACTTTTAATTTTGTAATGTTGAATGGATGCTGGAAAAATTTGAAAGGTATTGTTGATTAGTAAGGCCAGGAACACACATGCGTAAAATTGTGTGGCAGAAAACTGAATCAGAAATCAGCTTTCAGTTCAGTTTCTGTTTTACGCTTTTATGCCAGAACACACATACGTAAAAATTCTGGCCGAATAGAAAACACCACTGCCACCAACAGTACTAATTTTATTAATTTTTTCCTCTCATATAGGCTATCTATCCCTTTGTACCTTCCATTTTTTCTACACTTCCTCTGCTATAATATAGAAAATTTAAATTAATAGACTCGTATTCCAAATTCAAATAAAGAACGTGTGATATAAATACTAGGCCTATATATCGATTCTACTAGACTTACCTGTTATTTGAAATTTAACACCTGTAGCCATCCATAAACGTTGTTTAAATACAGTGTCTTTATACATGACACTGATTTGGTCGAACGGATTCAATAAACTCCTCTATTTCATTTATTTTTCGTTTTTTCGAGACCATCACAATTGTAGGGTTAACCCTCATTGCCGCCATTGTTAGAATAAAAACCACGTGTCTACTTCGACGTCACAGGAAAGACTTCTCTTTATTGGAGAAATTTTGGCGTAAAAATTTTTCAGCGTAAAAAGTAGAGACATGCTCTACTCTATTTTCAGTTTTGTTTCAGCCAAAATTTCAGAAAAATTTTTACGTTTTCTGTTTTATGCTAGATTTTACGCCGAATTTTACGCATGTGTGTTCCTGGCCTAACAGTAGTCTTTTCCCTATAAATTAATTAATTATTTATAACAAAAATAAAATAAAATTGTTAAGATCTGCTTTTTAAAAATAAAGAGACATTCTAAGTGTTTCATTTGTTCAAAAAATAATAGTAATGGCTAAAGAGGCACACACTATCACCATGTCCCATAAAAAGCTCTCGACAGCTCAGATTATCCAAATAATATTTTACTCTTGCATATTTTTATTGACACTGTGGAGTCAGAGTCAATAAAAATGAATCAACTCCAATTCCAACTTCTGTATTTTTATTACATACCTTATATTAAGCTCCTAATAAGAGTGTTAACTTCTTATCTTGCAATACAGGAAACTCCTATAATGCAAGATCTTATTTTATGATAATTCTCCTACTTTATAATCTTTCTTTGCATATCACTAATTACCATTAATTTTATTTTCATAAATTAAATACATTAATTTTAAACTTTTATCATTGAAAAACCCATACAAAATGACTAAGAAGACTCAGATTAAATTTAACATTTTTGAATACTTTACTATAACCACCAACGGAAAATATTTTGTATGTCAACATGTGGCTGAAGATGGTGGTGATAATGAAAAACTCTGTGAAAAGATGATAAATACTTTCAGTAAATTCAGTAGGAATGCCTGATAATTCATTTAAAAAATGTTTAAAATTCAGCCTGATAACTCGCTTTGTAGCAATGAAGATTTAGATACAGGAATGGAACTTTCTAAAAATTCTGAGTTGGAGTGGGAACTCAGTCTATCAACTCCACAGCTCTGCCTGCAATTCAAAATACACTTATTAAATACTGTATTAATAAATCAGAATAATAGCATCAAAAGTTAAATAACCAAAGTTATTTAATGCCACACATTTAAATGACATAAAAACTATATATTAGTTTTTTGTCATTTAAATTTTCTGTCACAGATTCACTTTAATTGTAAGTCAACAATTAAGATTTAAAAGAATTGTTTCCATCCTTTACGATTATAACACGTGTTCAGCCTTGCACGTGTTTAAATACTTCTTTCTTTGACACATTCATTTTTATATCAGTGGGAATGATTATATGATATAAAAATTGAATTCATAATACTAAATTTAACTAACTTGTAAGTATCCAATGGACATTTTTACATTGTTTAAATGGAGCGAGTGATCTTACCTGTTATAGCTGAATGCCTACTCAAGTTTTAGTTTTGGTTTCGATTTGAAAAGGTCAGATTTTGCAAGTGATTATTATTAACGAGTGCCAAAGCGCTTTCCTTCAGACACGGTGTACAGTACTTTATTACTTTTAAAAATAAAATTTAACAATCAAATCGAATATAAGTTCGAATTCGTGTCAATGAGTTTAAAAAGTTAAATAAATAAACTTTCATATTATGCTGCGAATATTAAATAGCCAATATATTTTTTTTATCTTTATTTATATAACTACTTTTGAACATATTTTTACAGTTTGTTACATCATGTTGTTTACTTCTCGACTAATAGTGTTGCCAGTAGAGGTGGGCAGCGTTGCCATTCCTAGTACATTTGTACTTTTCGGGTACATTTTGCCTTTTCGAGTACATTAAAAGTACACTTAGATTTTTAGTACATTATAATAATTCAGTACCATTTGTGGTACAAAATCATATTTCATGCCTTAACGAAAAAATTAGTTTAATAAAGTTCCACTAGTCTCACTGCTTGCTAATTTGATTTACCCAATCACAAAATACACATGGTGTATGTCGGTCGATATCAACAACATACGGATAATCATAATTTTATAATTAATTTGGAACATACAGCTAGTTGTATGTACAAATGTTATGACTCAGTGGTCCTCTTTCACACATGTCACACGTTTCAGTCGACTACACGAGCAGAGCCGGCCCTACCATAGGGCGAACGGAGCAGCCGCTCCAGGCGCTAAGTCCTAGGGGGCCCCTCACTGGTAAAGAAAATTCAAGGGTATAAATTAGGGACAACCAAGGGGGCACCACAATAGGATCTCGCTCCATCCTAAAACTTGCCTCGGGCCGGCACTGTACACGAGGACCTTGACAAAATTTTTCACGCCACGTGGTCCAAACAATTCAACTCTGTCAAACAAAAATAATGGGCAGGTAAGGAAATCAATGAATTTAAACTTTTGTCATCAATAATATCAAAATATCTGTTAAGTCAGAGTCGAATTATAATACAAAATAACTTTGAAATTGTACAAGTATAAATAATGTAAATACTTTTATAATATTTTCTTCCACTATAATTTAATTCTTAATTATGAACTTCAATTTTAGTAATCTTGGTAAAAGAAATAACTTTTTTTAATTTGAATCTGTCCACAGATATTTAATTTATAATTTTTTTATCCATCACTATAATATTTTTAAAAAATCAACTTTTAATGTTGTATTTAACAAAAAACCATAGAAATTATTTTCATAAAATCTTTTTATGGAATATTAATTTTAAAGCATTCATATTTAACAAAGTATTCATGAATATGAATTTGAAATAGGTACAAAATTGAGTATGATGGTATATCAATTAATATCAAAAGTAACCAACCATAGAAATAAGTACATTTTGAAGGAGTTTCAGTACGTTTTGAAATTTCATTGTGGCAACCTGGAGATGGGTAGTTCCGATTCGGAACTAACAAGTAAAAGGAACAGTTCCACCCCGTCTCGATACTCGGTGTGGACATTCGGTACTAAGACGTTATTCATCTGTCTTTGAACTTGAACTAAATGAAAATGTTTCACGGGTTTTTAGAAATAATCAAATTCGTTTAGAATATTTTAAAAGCTTATATTTTTAATATAGTTCGGAAATATTTGTTTTATTAATAATCAGCAGATATGTCCGCCATTGCCCGTCAAAACAGTAAAATGGTTTGATTATTTTAATTTACAATTGTTATGTTTATCGCAAAGTGTCGAGGAGATCAAATCGGGTGAAGAACGAAGTGTCCAGGATTCGTGATAGTCTATATTTTCCTCGGATTACGAGTTAAACAAGAATAATTTGGAACAGACCGACTAAAAAAAACAAAGAATAATGAGACCAACTTTTTATATCCTATATAAAACCGACCAGGGACCGCCTAGTCCAACAGACTAAGCAATTCCGACATTACATATTGATTCCGTCTAGCTTAACGGTTCCGCACTCGGATTAGTTCCAACAGTTCCAGTTCCAGCAGCAGAACTGGACCTTCCATGTCTAGTTGCTAGATTCGAGAAACTAAAAACATTATTCGTATTTATTATAATAAACATTTGCAAGACATATTTGCATTTTAACCCGGGAAATCCCACAAATTTCTCAAAGTTCACTTTTTTCTTATTTCGTGTTAAGGTTGAAGAAATTTTACAAATAGAAAGTACAATTAACGTGTTTGGTTCAGGGGATCACAAAACGGGCAGATTTGCAAAAACTCGAAAGGTCAAATTTGACACGATTCCAACACTTTCATTGTTATGTATACATAACAGTCGGAGAAGTAAAACGAATAATTACAGAAATTTTAATATTTTTTTAAATTTTTCTATTAAAACGACTTCATTATATAGTTTTAGCCGTCGGGCGGATGGCCGAGCGGTCAAGCCTACCGCTCTGGGGGACCCGTGATAGAATTCGGACGGATCGAAAGATCCCCAGGAATTTTTCGGGGGATGGTCCGTTCGGATATGTCGGGTCCCATCCCTCACCACCCGGCCGCCCCATTGTGGGCCTGGCCGAACCCATAATGGGCTTGCTAAAAGAGCTCTCTTAGTGCCCACAGGGCGGAAAGAGTTTTAAAAACGTACTTCTTTTGCTGTGTAGTATTCTTGATTTATGTCGGCAGCTTTAATAGCGGCATCAATCTTCCAGCCCGATAATTCGGAGGTTCTTTTGGATTTCATTTATGAAGAAAAACTTCATAAACCTGATTATTCCATACTTCGTACTCGTTTGTATCCTTGTCCAATTTGCACAACCTGGCATAATGAAGTTATTGAAACTTCTGGGCATGGTTAAAAATTAAGACAGCATCGGCGCAATTATTTAAGATATTACAGGTTCTACAAATAAAGAATTTTCAGAGTCCTATCACAAATTGACAATCTGTGACATGCCACAAGAAGAAAAAATTTTAAAAACTAATAAGCAGGCTTAAAATTAATAAATACAAATGTATTCTGGCAGCTTATGAGTTAATTAAAAAAAGAGTAAAAAATTCCTTGGATGTGTGTTGGCGTCTATTTTGTTTAAAACCTCAGGATGGAATAATGATGAAGAAACGAAATTTGGCACGGTAGTTTGTGTATAAGGGGCATTGACGCTATTAAATTTTGGTGTTTAAGAGTGGAGAAATGGGAGATAAGAGTACACTTAGATTTTTAGTACATTATAATAATTCAGTACCATTTGTGGTACAAAATCATATTTCATGCCTTAACGAAAAAATTAGTTTAATAAAGTTCCACTAGTCTCACTGCTTGCTAATTTGATTTACCCAATCACAAAATACACATGGTGTATGTCGGTCGATATCAACAACATACGGATAATCATAATTTTATAATTAATTTGGAACATACAGCTAGTTGTATGTACAAATGTTATGACTCAGTGGTCCTCTTTCACACATGTCACACGTTTCAGTCGACTACACGAGCAGAGCCGGCCCTACCATAGGGCGAACGGAGCAGCCGCTCCAGGCGCTAAGTCCTAGGGGGCCCCTCACTGGTAAAGAAAATTCAAGGGTATAAATTAGGGACAACCAAGGGGGCACCACAATAGGATCTCGCTCCATCCTAAAACTTGCCTCGGGCCGGCACTGTACACGAGGACCTTGACAAAATTTTTCACGCCACGTGGTCCAAACAATTCAACTCTGTCAAACAAAAATAATGGGCAGGTAAGGAAATCAATGAATTTAAACTTTTGTCATCAATAATATCAAAATATCTGTTAAGTCAGAGTCGAATTATAATACAAAATAACTTTGAAATTGTACAAGTATAAATAATGTAAATACTTTTATAATATTTTCTTCCACTATAATTTAATTCTTAATTATGAACTTCAATTTTAGTAATCTTGGTAAAAGAAATAACTTTTTTTAATTTGAATCTGTCCACAGATATTTAATTTATAATTTTTTTATCCATCACTATAATATTTTTAAAAAATCAACTTTTAATGTTGTATTTAACAAAAAACCATAGAAATTATTTTCATAAAATCTTTTTATGGAATATTAATTTTAAAGCATTCATATTTAACAAAGTATTCATGAATATGAATTTGAAATAGGTACAAAATTGAGTATGATGGTATATCAATTAATATCAAAAGTAACCAACCATAGAAATAAGTACATTTTGAAGGAGTTTCAGTACGTTTTGAAATTTCATTGTGGCAACCTGGAGATGGGTAGTTCCGATTCGGAACTAACAAGTAAAAGGAACAGTTCCACCCCGTCTCGATACTCGGTGTGGACATTCGGTACTAAGACGTTATTCATCTGTCTTTGAACTTGAACTAAATGAAAATGTTTCACGGGTTTTTAGAAATAATCAAATTCGTTTAGAATATTTTAAAAGCTTATATTTTTAATATAGTTCGGAAATATTTGTTTTATTAATAATCAGCAGATATGTCCGCCATTGCCCGTCAAAACAGTAAAATGGTTTGATTATTTTAATTTACAATTGCTATGTTTATCGCAAAGTGTCGAGGAGATCAAATCGGGTGAAGAACGAAGTGTCCAGGATTCGTGATAGTCTATATTTTCCTCGGATTACGAGTTAAACAAGAATAATTTGGAACAGACCGACTAAAAAAAACAAAGAATAATGAGACCAACTTTTTATATCCTATATAAAACCGACCAGGGACCGCCTAGTCCAACAGACTAAGCAATTCCGACATTACATATTGATTCCGTCTAGCTTAACGGTTCCGCACTCGGATTAGTTCCAACAGTTCCAGTTCCAGCAGCAGAACTGGACCTTCCATGTCTAGTTGCTAGATTCGAGAAACTAAAAACATTATTCGTATTTATTATAATAAACATTTGCAAGACATATTTGCATTTTAACCCGGGAAATCCCACAAATTTCTCAAAGTTCACTTTTTTCTTATTTCGTGTTAAGGTTGAAGAAATTTTACAAATAGAAAGTACAATTAACGTGTTTGGTTCAGGGGATCACAAAACGGGCAGATTTGCAAAAACTCGAAAGGTCAAATTTGACACGATTCCAACACTTTCATTGTTATGTATACATAACAGTCGGAGAAGTAAAACGAATAATTACAGAAATTTTAATATTTTTTTAAATTTTTCTATTAAAACGACTTCATTATATAGTTTTAGCCGTCGGGCGGATGGCCGAGCGGTCAAGCCTACCGCTCTGGGGGACCCGTGATAGAATTCGGACGGATCGAAAGATCCCCAGGAATTTTTCGGGGGATGGTCCGTTCGGATATGTCGGGTCCCATCCCTCACCACCCGGCCGCCCCATTGTGGGCCTGGCCGAACCCATAATGGGCTTGCTAAAAGAGCTCTCTTAGTGCCCACAGGGCGGAAAGAGTTTTAAAAACGTACTTCTTTTGCTGTGTAGTATTCTTGATTTATGTCGGCAGCTTTAATAGCGGCATCAATCTTCCAGCCCGATAATTCGGAGGTTCTTTTGGATTTCATTTATGAAGAAAAACTTCATAAACCTGATTATTCCATACTTCGTACTCGTTTGTATCCTTGTCCAATTTGCACAACCTGGCATAATGAAGTTATTGAAACTTCTGGGCATGGTTAAAAATTAAGACAGCATCGGCGCAATTATTTAAGATATTACAGGTTCTACAAATAAAGAATTTTCAGAGTCCTATCACAAATTGACAATCTGTGACATGCCACAAGAAGAAAAAATTTTAAAAACTAATAAGCAGGCTTAAAATTAATAAATACAAATGTATTCTGGCAGCTTATGAGTTAATTAAAAAAAGAGTAAAAAATTCCTTGGATGTGTGTTGGCGTCTATTTTGTTTAAAACCTCAGGATGGAATAATGATGAAGAAACGAAATTTGGCACGGTAGTTTGTGTATAAGGGGCATTGACGCTATTAAATTTTGGTGTTTAAGAGTGGAGAAATGGGAGATAAGGGGAATCGTGTGTGGTATCTCAAATAGGATCGGACTTAATGACGATTTTAGTCGTTATTAGCCCTTACAATTTTAGTTCTTATAAAACTCATCTTTACCCTCAAAATAAAGCTTTTTGCCATTTTATGATAATTAAAAATATAAAAAGATTTTATAATAAAATATCATGACAGATGGCGCCACACTAAATTTTATTCATTACAATTAATAATATAAAAGTTATTTTTTAAATAAAATCTCAAAAGCCAGGAAAGTTATGCAACTCATTTCTAGATTTTTTTGTTTCTACTTATGGTATCTATCATTTTTAAAGTGATAAAGGTTTTGAGAGGTTATGGAAACAGACAAGGGAAGAGAGTAAAACTTTTAAGAAAATACAGACATAATTTACAGACAGCCCATAACAGAGGGCTGATTGTTTCTGGTACTTGGACAAGATAAACATATGAGAATATTTTAGTTTCTTCCAAGTATTTTTAATGTATAAATACCATTAGCCATTTTAATTGAAGTCTTAACAAGTTTATGCTTGCATCAATTAATTATAAATGTAAAATTCTGTTTACAAATAATAATTACTTTCTGAGAACTTTTTGAACACCTCATACACACACGTGTATATATATCGTATTATCATAACTATCTTTAACATAATTACTGACTTCTCCTCATGTCATGTAAATACCAATATAATGTTACTAACTTTCTATGTGTTATATATTTTTTTAGGTATGGAGAATATCCACAGCTTTGTGGTCTTTTACATAAGTACATTCGTCCAAAAGACAAGCTATTAAACATTGGATGTGGAAATTCACAGTTAAGTGTGGACCTGTATGATGTTGGTTTTCACAATAATGTTAATATTGACATTAGTAGCATTGTTATCAAACAGATGAATGACAAGCACGTTCCTGGCAGGAAAGGTCTAGAATTCAAAAAAATGGATATGCTTCAGGTATTAGTCATAATTAACAAATTCCAGTTTTACACATTCAAATAAATTAACTTATGACTATATTTATAACTTGTGACCATAATATCACATTTGTGACATTATGGCCAGATTTTTTATTGGGCTATAAGGCTAAATAATTACTAAATAATTTGGCAGGAGGCAGGTCACTGTCTCTTCTTAAATATAATAAAATTAGTCTGGATAGTGTGACAGGCAACCTATCTTCACAGTAAGTAGGAGTTGCAGGTTCAAGTCCCATTCTGGTTCAGGTCTTTTCTAAAATATTCTTAAATTTAATTCATTAATTATATTTAAGAAGAGATGACATGGCCGATAGGCTGCTTCTTACCAAATTGATCTGTAATTATTTAGCCTTACAGCTCTATAAACAATCTGACTGTTTGTTTGATATTACAATAGACTATGACTAAAGAAATTTGATAATATTAAATCAAAATAAAAATATATTTTGGTATTAATTCATATTATGAATTATAGTTTTAAATTTTTCATGAAAAGATGACATTTGATGATGAAGAATTTAGTGTTGTATTGGATAAAGGAACTTTGGATGCATTATTGAGCGAAGACACTGAAGAAGTTAACAGACGAGCTGAAGCAATGTTTTCTGAAATTAAGAGAGTTTTGAGACCTTGTGGCCGTTACATTTGTGTTTCTCTTCTTCAAGATTTTATATTAAAGAAAATGTTGAATTGGTTCACAAATGAGTAAGTTGAATTTATAAATTCATCAGATAAAAATTTACTTTTTCCAGCTGAAAGTAAAATGTCCATATGCCCTGGCATTCCATTTTCAACTCTACTTCTAAAGATTGTCTGTTAACTAGATCAAATAAACCAGCAACAAGTTGCTCAATTTTCCTGGTAACATTTAAAATTTTGGTAGCTTATATAAAATATGCGACCAAAATTTTAAAAGCTTTTTATATTTTTAACTATTATAAAATGGCAAAAAGCTTAATTTTGAGGATGAGTTTTATAAAAAATTGTAAATGCTAATAACTAGTAAAATTCTCATTAAGTCCAACCCTACTGGAGATACATACGGCTCCCATTATCTCTCTACTCCCTTGACCTTTAACCACCAAAGTTCAATAGCACCAATCCCTCTAATAAATAAACCTATCTGCAAAATTTCAGAAATTTTTGACAAAAAGCACAAAAGTAGTATTAATTAAGCTTCAAAGAGAATGAACAAAATTGTGCCCTCCCTACATTAACATCCATACATACGGAAATTACCCTCAAACTTTTTTGCATTTCACAATGTTTCAAGGTGTCCTAAGTCCAAAAAATGTAAAATTCTTGGGGGTCATTTTTTGACCAATCACCCTAACAATGGGTGGAGTTTAAAGAACACTAACATTTTACTGTTAGTGTTCTTTAAACTTTACCCATTGTAAAAGATGCATTAATTCAGTTGAGTAACCACAGTGGACAGTTCATTCTTATATTATACATACTACCTATACATATATATAAAATTCTGTTTTCAATTATATATTATATAACTTAAATTATTTAAGTTATATTTTCTATGTTCCAGTGTTTTTTGTTTAATAATATTTTCCACATAGAATATTTGCATATAATTTAGTATGAAATAATTATCATACCCTCTAATACTATTCATTTTGTTTACCACAAAAACTAAAAGCTAAGTTAATCAGCTTGTCAAATCCAGAAGAACTTAACACAATGAAGAGGTTTCTGTGAAGACATCAATATATAGTTTAGTTTACAATAAATTTGCATCAAATTGCCATTTTTAAAAAGTCTGTGATGAATATATAGAAATTAAGATGCATCTTAGACTCAATGGTGTCTTATATTTGAATAAATACAGTAATTACATTAAATTATATTTTTCATATATAATTTAATGTAATTACTGTATTTATAAAAATGACAATAAATTTATATAAATTAAGACAAGATAAAAGTTGGTCATTTTTCATAAATAGCATATTTCTTATAAAACAAAATAAAAATACAAATGAATAAGATATAATCAGTATGTTTTTTAAAAGAAAACTATTCTAATCAACTGCATTAATCAGATTATTCTATTTTTATTGAAATTATATAATAATAAAAATAACAACAAAGTCTTTACAATCCAGCATTTAATTTAGGATAAACAAATTTATTTGGCTAGCTTAACTAGTCATTGTCAGATTTGAACCACACATTAATACAGGATTCTAGAACATTGGTTGAAAATTATTCAAACATAGTATATATTACAGTACATTTAAGCTGTTCTATAATAAAATATTAGCATTGAAACTACAGGATTATAACAGTGACAATAAAAATTACAACAGTATTAATAACAACATTAAAAAATATACTGGAATATATACTACATTCCAAAAATTTTCAGCCGTGTTCTAAAATCCTGTAGTTTCATGTGATTCAAACTGGTGATGGCTAGTTAAGTGAGCTGAAAAAGTCTGTTTATCCAAAATTAAATGCTGGATTATAAAGATTTTTTGTTTTTATATTAATTTTATCCATTTTGATATTGCATTGGTTTGTTATGTATATACTTAAAGATTAAGAATGAAAGTTGTTACCAGAAGTATTCTTTATTTTGTCATATTGTTCTTAATTCACATATTTATTTTATTGAATATAACTTAATTCTTTATTTATTTATTTTTGAAATATATAAAAGAATTGATTTTGTAGGGGCTGGATGATTCGCATTCACAAGTGTACAGAAATTGAACGTGATCCCGAGGAACCGAATTCAGCTTATGCATTTCCAACATTTTTTGTTATTTGCACTAAAATGAAATCATCTAAAACAATGAAATCAGTAAGGTTATTTTACACATTTAATTTTTTTAATTTATTAAATATTTTATTATACTTTTTTTTTACAGCTAATTGAATTAGATATGGATGGAGAGCTGATTCGAGTAGAAACTAGTGATGAAGNACATATGAACTTTATTCTTCAGTTTTTATTCATGCTTGCTGATCTTAGTTCTCTGCACGATTATATACAGTATATATATTATATATAAGTTTTATATATAAGCCAATTTTACAATTCGGTTACGTTTTAAATTTTATTCAATTAATTTTAAAATTTCATGTGATAGCGATCAATCATCACAAATCAGTCAGTGTGCATATTTATAAGATTTTACTTTCGCTTTATTTAATTGTTGTAATAATGGCTAAATGACAAGCTGTAGTCTGTTGTTGTCTTTAGGTACATAAAGTTTAATTGACCCTTTGATGTAAATTGCCTCCAAGATGTGCAGCAGTCTAGTCGTATTTGATACCGAGCCATCAGCACTGTCGTGTGGGAGTGGGAAAACTCTCTGAGACAGATTCTCCATCGTAAACCGTTTAATAAATATAGAACTTTCTCTTACAACAAATCCTTAAAAAGGCGTAACACCTATCCAAAGTCGAGAAACAAGTCCGTAACACGAAAAGTTCAACTGTTCTGACGGTAGTTTTTCTTCCGGCGATGGTGGCGTGAAGACGTCGGCTCCGAGGTGCACAACACTACTTGGACCGAGGTCTTCTAGCTACAAGGTGAACTTTAGCGAACTAGATGGCACGGGAAGGTGAAGACAAGTCCTCCGAATATCTAACAAGCTCTCGTAGGAGAAATGTCCGGATGACAAGAATCTTGGAGAGGAACACTGCGAACTAAGGACCAAGAACGTCACATCCTTTTTTCGCGCGGTTTTTATAAGTTTCCTTTAGGTCCCAGACCGAACATCTCGATAGGTCGATGTCGACTTGCCCCCGCTCTCCAATTGGTCCCCCTCCTCGTTACGAATTTTAACGAGATCGGAACCCAGATCGTGGGATGAGTCTACCAACTGACAATTCGATTCCTATCGAAGATGTTCGATCTAAGCCAGGGGTCGCCAAAGTGATCGATATCGACCCCCCAGGGGTCGATGCGGCTAAGGGGTCACAACCTTTTTTTTTTTTTTTTGCTCATACACATACACTTGTAATAAAACTTTACGGTGGGGGTCAATGTGAGGCTTTGGAAAGTGGTTGGGGATCGACGGTTAAAAAAGTTTGGCGACCCCTGATCTAAGCACTCAAATTCATCTATTGTTTTAATCTGAGTAGTTCGATTTTCTTAGAAATTTCTACAGACATGTCCTTATATGGTCATAAAATATGCATTTTTCGTTTGATGGTTTCTTTTTACATTACAATAATTATCATTTTCTTCTATACACAAATTCTAGGCCCACTTTCGAAGCTTCACATAAGCGACGAGCTCTTTATTAATATGCGACTAATTTTGTTTGCAATTCTACATAAATATCGACTAAAATATAAGATATTTTTTATTTATTCTTAAAATAATATTTTTGTAGATATTTTAAACATCCAAACAACTACATTTATTCGATTGGGAAAGAAGTGAAGACAGTTTTCACACGTCTTTCGTAATGATGACCTTTTCACTTAATACTTCTTACCCAGTAAGTTAATTATATCTTATTGCGTCAAAACTTTTAAATTTTATCTTTAGCCATAATTTTTTCAACGGTTTGTTTATTTTTCTCGTTTTTTTTTTTTTTGAATTTGAGTTGTATACTAGAATAACGGGAGATAATACGAGTTACGAGAAAATGCAAACAGATCAATTCAATTCTTATATATTGGATAGATAACGCGCGGAGGCAAAAATTCTTCGTAAAAAGATTTATTTTTTATACATTACTTATCTTTGTATAATGAATACACTATCAATTTTCGTGAATAATAAATTTTTCGTTAAATGACTAGGTTAGTTGTGGATGAAATGGGTCAAGGGATAAAATACTCCACATTAGTTTTAAGCTCAGCAGCTAAGAATTTAAGTAGGTTTAAATTTTGCTGGTGGGCGAAATTTTCTTTTAACTGTTCTGTTTCCTTTTATTTAAAAGGAAACAGAAAATGAACGAGTTGGTAAAAGCGTTAGCTTATCGCTCTAGATAATCCGATTCGAGTGTCACAAATTTTCATAGATACAATCTAATTCAAATACGTAGAACCTCATTCCTCACTATTTGGCCATACTCATTGTGATTCTAATCAAACTTTTAATAGAGGCAACCTTCTCAGTACTCAGAAGACAAAAAAGTTTTAAAAGGAAAAGAACTAAAAAACAGATCAGCAATGGAATCTCGAAAGAGTTTTTATAATGTAATAATTTGTTTTCAGAAAATAAAAAATAATATAATAAGTTGAACTTCCACAACTTGAAATTTTCGCTAAGTCGAATCTTATTTTTGTCCTAACTTAACTCCAATAGACTCAATACATTGTATTTCTATAATTCGAAGTAATTTATAGAATTAGACTTTATTTAAGTTTAATTTTGTGTGTTTTGAGTTTTCAAGGAGAACGATAATCTTATCACGAAGTTAAAGATTAATATTGTATAGAATTACGTCTTGTTTGCACAACATAAACTTTAAACTTTTAGTGACATTTTACGCCTAATATAACGATCTCTACAGTGCTGTCTCTACAGATTTGAAAAAACAAAGAAAGAATTTTCGAAACCTTCAATGAACAACAGAACCAGACAGAATAGAAAATAAAGACTGACTATGAATACAGTATCTTGATGATGAAATGTGCGTGAAGGATGCTACAAGAATATTCTTGTCGATGGAAACTTAGAGAAAAAGCTGAAAATTTGGACAACAGTTGAGGCATACCGGATTCAGAGCAAACAGCGGATTGCTGGATATATTTAAGAGGCGTGGAATAGTTTGCAATAAAGTCTACGGTAAAAGTGAAGAAGTGCGAGAGGAGGATAGCGCGAAGTGATTGAAAAGCCTGTAGTATGGATGACAGTTTCAATGCACAGAAAACGGGCTTATGTTTTAAATATCTGCAGGAGAAAACAGTGATATTCAAGGTGAGTCATGTCAAACCGATCCTCTAAGAGGCAAAAGAAGGACATGTCTACTCCGAGAAAAAGGTAAAGATAAAAATTTATATTTAAAGTAATTTTTATGCATTTGTGTTTTTACTTTCTTTTATAGAATTTTTATCAATTATTTTTTTATAACTGCTTAATAATTTGTATATACATTTTCAATAGTTTGTATGAACAAATTATACAGTATTCCTGTATACAAATTTCCGGCCATAAATTCTGTCAAGTCACTCTAGAAAATATTCTTTATAATATTCTTTATACACAATAATTAAAGATTCAATGAATAAGAATGAAAGGAATACCATCAGATTCTCAAATTAGAGTTACATTCTGAAATGATAAATTCAAAAACATTTTTTGTTTCGTATACAACGACCTTTACAACGTGTGGATGAAAATCTAAAATTACTTATAAAAGTTGATATAATTCTACTTTTAAATAATAGAAATTAAATAAATCATTTTAATACAGAAGAAATGAACTAATGAAAATGTCTGATCGAAAATTTCAACATTTAGATCAAAATCTGCAAAGTAGTTGGAAATGTTTACTTAAGGTTTATTAATTTTGTCTAATTAGCGTACACTTTTACGTCAAACTTACGTAATTAGTACACTCCCACATAAGAAAATTGTAAGAATGACGTCATATTGATGTAATAGTAGCCTATACATTATTCGGAAAAAACGAATGTAACTTTAATTGTCATCTTAAATATATTTAAAATAATTAATCTAAATTTGTAATTATCCGTAAATCGTTATGATACATTTTTATTGTCTCTCTTCATCTATTTACTACAGTAAATAAATAAATTAAACAAATATTTAAGATATGTTACATAAAATTGATTTAAAGTTTATAACATTTATATTCAATACTATTGTTTTGCGTATTATTCATATTTTAGTTTGATAAAACTGTCAAACTTCGTAGATAATCCAAATTGGTAGACCGTAGTATTTTTTCAATATGCCAAGGACCGGAAATATAATATCCAACTTATTAGAATAAAAATGTAGTCTGTACGAATAAAATACTATAATTATGAAAGGTCAAAAGAAAAAATTCTGATAAGCATAGTAAAGAAAATATGAAATCATAATAGCAATAATAAAATTTTAAAAAGTTGGCAAAGTTGTTGCTGAACTTTCCCGGTGTTTTTTCTTTGTTTTCATTCCTAGTAATTGCTGCCATTACCTTTATAAATCTTCAGATTGGTTTGGGAGATATTAATTAATTAAAGGGAATGGGCCACATCTCCCGAACTAATGGTCCGATTTTCCTGAAAATTTCTAGAAACATATCTCCTTAATACAAAATCCTTCTTGCAAGATTTCAGGAATTTTCAACAAAAGGCACAGGAGTTATTAAGCTTCAATACAGGTGAACAAAATCGTGCCTTCACACATTAACATCCATACATACAGAAAAAAACCAACTTTTTTGTATTTTTTGACGTTTCATGGTCCTGTGAGTCCAAAAATTAAAAATCTTGAGGTCAAAATATTATCCCCCAAAATTTTTACATTTGTCATACTCTTAAATTATAGCCAGGAAAGTAAAAGTCTGAAGGAGTAGATGTAGAGAAAGCTTCAGCATCTCAAGCTAAACATCCTTACAGAAATTCCTGTAGATAGGATTAGGGTGGAATAAGACAACGCAACATATTGCGTTGTCTTCATTCCACCCTAATTTTATTTGCAGGAGTGCCTCGTGGGAAAATTCTCTATGGAATACTGGTCCCTATATAAGTGCTAGATATGTAAAGAAAACTCTACAGGGTCATCATACTGGTGAGGTGTAAACCCGCACCATTTCAGTGGTTTTATCCATTCCACCATTGGTGTGTCTCAATGCAGATAAAATATATAGTTTGTAGTGTAATCCTATAGACCCATGGTTCTCAATCCGTAATCCGCGGAACACGGGTGCTCCGTGAAGCCATCTCAAGTGTTCCGAGAAAAAATTAAATATACAATTAAAAATTGTTTCAAAAGAAAAATCAATACAATTTAAAATAATTTTTGTATGGGAATGTAATCAGCAAATGCCAATGATGTCATATACTAGACCGAGTACGCTCTTGATTTCAAAAAGGTTTG